TTGTTTCTGCTCAAAACTATAATTTATGACTACACTTAGCGGCTGTGATGAATGGCCGCCCACGGTCTCTTGTAATTCAGAGCGACTCAGAGCACGATATCGTTTTCAAAAAAGTAKACATGAAATTTACCTCTGATTGAAATGAACAACATTCTCAAGTTGCTGAAGCTTCACTTCATCGATTCCCGCCTATACATTTTTGAAAATGTCCCTTTTTATCAATCATCGCCAACTATTCCGGTCATGCGCCCGCGTGCAATAGGATACCTATTGAAGCACAGGAATACCGTAGCAAAAAGTTATGTTTCTCTAAGTCCGGGCCTGAGAGAGCTTGGGCTTCCTGTGGTTTATATTTTATACAAGATATCCGCTGACTTGGCGAGCGGCGCATGGCCGAAATAGTTGACGATGAAAATTAATAAAAACATTTCGATTCACATACATTCTTTTGTAAACTTTTACGGTCGGTAACACATAAATATTGAGATGTGCCAGGCGTTCCGCGCGGGTGATGTCCGAAATTTCTGGCGATGAATTAGTGTCTGAATAACAACAAAACAGAACAAGCAGATGTTTTACACTTGATACGTACGAAGATATTTTTAAAAGCACGTTTCTGTTTGTTACAGAAGCAAAGTCCCAGGTAGCTGTTCGTCTAGTGGACGGTAGGACTCCTAACGAAGGAAGTGTAGAAGTAAGATACAAAGGTACTTGGGGTACCATATGCAATAATGGATGGGATATATGGAATGCTTACGTGGTGTGTCACATGTTGAATTACTCCAAGGCAGTTACAGCAACGACTTCTAGCGTCAAAGGAACTGGTCCTATATGGCTTAAAGGGCTTGGTTGCTGGGGATCCCAAGAATCTATTGATCAGTGTCCTCATGCTGGCTGGGGTAACACTGGTGGATGTGATCACACTCGTGATGCTGGAGTGGTATGTGGTAATGCAATAAACGTCAATGTTCGTCTAGTGGATGGTAAGACTCCTAATGAGGGACGTGTAGAAGTAAGATACAAAGGTACTTGGGGTACCATATGCAATGATGGATGGGACATACCCGATGCTTACGTGGTATGTCACATGTTGAATTACTCCAAGGCAGTTACAGCAAGAACTGCTAGCGTCAAAGGAACTGGTYYTATATGGCTTAAATTCAGAGGTTATGGTTGCTATGGACACGAAGAATCTATTGATCAATGTTGGCATTATGACTGGGGTAACACTGGTGGATGTGATCACAGCCGTGATGCTGGAGTGGTATGTGGCAATCTAACACCAGCTACAACTAGATAACCTACAAAACACTCATATGATCTTTGCTTATCTATTCAATCGTGTCAAAAAAAAATTTTTTTATCATCAACTTATAGTTCTTGCATTTGTTCGTTTTCCATTTTTATCAAATAATAAAGTCATTTTTTGTGACCACGTTGATTAGGATAGTTATCTATATATAATGTGTATCTTTACACTGTCTTAACATCAAACTTTGCAAGCAAAGTAAGGAATGTGATTAGGATGTTGGTTGTTTATTGAACAATATTTGTTTCAGAGGAGAAAGCGATCAAAGTTCGTCTGGTGGGAGATCAAAACCATACTGGCAAAGTAGAAATCCAGTATCAAGGGACCTGGGGAGTAGTATGTCATTGACTCTGGGATATACAAGATGCTCATGTGATCTGCASAATGCTTGGTTACAAAGCAGCAAAACACGCAATTTATTGCATTGAAGAAGAGACACGAAGAAGAACGCTCATGAATCTTGTGAGATGCAGTGGTAGAGAAAAGTCGATAGCAGAGTGTGCTCACTCAGGATGGTGGAGTGTTCGTTCGTGGTGTACAAATAAACATCTTGCTGGTGTGGCTTGTCAGACAAATGAAGGTGAGAAAGTCAAATCTCTACTTTACTCTGATCATTCAAATATTATCATATCGAAGCAAATCATCTAGATAGTTCGTTTGTTGATCAGACATAAGCTTTATCAAAGCTCTACTTATTCTCTTTCATACACTTGTCCAAGTGTCAGTTGTACAATGACCTCAATGATGTTGGTACAAATCCACAGATCCTCCACCAGTTCAAGTTCGTTTAGCTGGAGGAAGGTCAGTCAATTCTGGTCGA